CCAATCAGCTCTAATTACCGAGTACAGTAATATAAACATTGGTATTATTTGATCGATTTAATTGCTTCGTATCTTCCTTGTAAAGTAATTAATAAGGCATAATATACCGCAACCCTTCGTGCTCCATTGAAGTAATCATTCGGTGTTGTTGACAGCATAAACAAAATTCAACTAATTGAAATTCCACTGACGATAGAATGACGGTTAATTGAAATTAACCTTTATTTTATGGTGTTAAAGATTATATTTGAATAATGAACACTTATTTGTTTTCGGTACATGGTTTCCATAGACGTTTCAGATATTTTTTTTTTATTTTTTTTTATAATAGGTAACCTAATAAAAGACGTATAAATAAGACTGCTATTAAATTTTCTATACAATATAGAATCACCTTCACTAATCTTATATTCCATTCAAATGGAATTACAGGATTCGTGAAGGTAAATTCTTTGATTTACTACATCTGTGATTATATTTTTGAATGTACTGCTATTCCTTAATAAATGAAGTAAATGAAACGTGGTTATTAATAAAATTATTAATTTTATTCTCACGAATATTCAAAGTATTAAAAGGAATAAGACTCATGTTTAAATCAAATTATCGTAGCAAAAATGAATCAGTACTACGTAGGCCGTAGGCACGTAGCTACATTTCAAGATATTGTAACAATCGAAAGAATGGTAGTGATCCAAAATTTATAATCGAGTCATCATTGACTCGGTCCTCGGGGGAACAATCGAGATTTTCCTATTGTTTCGAGTATTATTAAACGATTCCCTGTCGATTTTCATTGAGTCGCAGTAGTTGTTTGATTCAAACCTTCGTAGTCGACGACTGAAAACAATCCGACAATATGAAGTTCGAACAATGAATCGAAATTGTAACTATGGTTTAAAATTGGAAGTACATTTGAATCTTTACATGTTTCTTATGACTTTAATATGAAATTATATTATCTTTTATATATTTTTAAAATCGGTTAAATTAGATTGCAAATAATAAATCATACAAATATATAAAAATGCAAACGTTTAGATGGAAGGATGTTTGTTAGCAGGTAACTCAAAGATGTCAAAACGGAGGCTACTTTGTTTATTCCTCGCGGACGAAGTCGCGTATAAGCTACTTATTGCATGTAGTTTATAGTTTTGTAATCTAGAACATAGTATTGATTTTTCGTTGCGCTAAGAAATAAGTCGACCATGGCAAAATTAATTTTATTGTACACTAATTGTAATCACGAAAACTCACACGAATTTACGGAATCCGCGGGCTTTGAAATTCCGAATATCAAATTCTGAGTTAAAACAGAGTAATGAAGTTTTATCTACAATATACCAAATAATGTAATGTTATCCCTTTCGAAATACGACGACATAACAATCCTTAAGTACATTCGGGAAGAATAAGTTCCGTTGAAATCCGCCTCGAGCCTAGATTAAGTCGGCTAAAGGAAGTTTGCCCACGGCGGCTGCGCTGGGGCCCGGAGCTAATAGTCGAGCGGCCATTAAGGTTACAGATGTGGGATCATGCGAGACCGAATCGAGCTCTTGCGTGGTCTTTTGTAAAGCTCAAATTGTTTATATCCCAATGTGAGCTACCGCTTTTATCGCTGTTCTGCAGTTATTATAGGCAGTCTTATAGGTGACGATAATTTTAGTTACAAAGCGGAATACGTATGTTTTTCGTAATAAAACACAATAGAAACGACTAGCAGGCCCCTTGCGGATGTTTGTAAAACTCAGAACAATTCCAGGAATATAAAGATATCTGTCCACAGAGTTTGAAAAGCAAATAAAAATAATTCTGCTTTAAAAAGACAAGGTCTATAAGTACACTATGCAAAGGACTGATCGTACTTTAAAGTATGACATGAAACTCAATAAAACAGATTATGTACCTTCCACCTATGATAGTTAATAGGTCATGGTAACACGAATACTATTCATGAAGCCATTTATAACGTTACGTGAGTTAGCTGACTCACGTTCAATAGATTTATCTAATGTTCAAATTAATTCATTGTAATGTATTGATTCCATGTAAAATATATAGCAGATATATAGAAGCTAGGTGTGATATTGAAAGGGAGAATACATAAGAATGTTTTATTATTTATTTTGTTGTTTATTTATCTGATATGAAAATTTGGAAACATGTGTCGGAATTTTATTGAATATTTAAAATATTCCAAGAGAAAATAACAAAATAAATGCTATCTGAAATACTGTCAATGTCAAAAGGGATTGTTCGTCTCAAATAAAATTTGTTAAATCGATCATTAATTTAAATCAAAATTGATTTGTCTCTCTCTTTTGCATGCAACCGCATAATGTTCCAATCGACTGATTATTGGTTCGTCCAAAAATCGTTGACCTTCCCCAGCTCTTGCATTTATACTTTTATGTGACGAAAAATGAGCAAGGATTTGAATACGAAGAGATCTAGATACATCAGCCACTTTCATTTGTCTCATGACATTTGAAGGAAGCGAGAGTCACGAGAAAGGGACCCCTTTTCGGGGCGTGAAATTGAATCCTGTTTTTGGCGGAGGGTTCGTAGAAAGCTTAAATATTTATAGACAAATTGCTACCTAGAGACGTAACACAACAATTGAAGTGAGGTATTAATTTTACGACTCCTTAGTCAATCTTGTTATCGAGATCACTTGAACGAGTTGTACGTTTTTCAGTCTACGAGTATGATTATTTGTTTTCTTAATTTAAAATGTTCATATCAAAATATGAAGGAAGTATTTGTTACTATTATTTACTTCTGAAAAAATCAGAAGTAAATAAATTGATTTATCTATCTTACTTCTTACTCATATTATAAATGTGAATTTTTGGTTGGATGGATGTTTGTTAGGATACCTCTAGAACGTCTACATGGATCTCGTTGAAATTTGACATAGATGTAGAACATAGTCTGGAATACATAAGCTACTTATTAAGTTTTTTTTTAATTATGCGCAGACGAAGTCGCGGGCGACAGCTAGTAATTTATATATGTGCCTTACAATATTACCAAAATTTGATAAATATTATATTAAATGTATTGAAAATCTTCCATTTTGAAAACCACTTTCATTCCAGCTTTCCACTTACTTCAAAAATGTCGTACAAAGTTTTACCATTATCATTAAGTGTATTTTATTGTTTTACGTTAGCGTAAATTATAATCATCATTAAAACGTGCATACATAAAAGTTAATATATAAACATATAGATAACTCCATTACGTTTGCTCAGAACAGTATAATCGTTTAGCACAGGCAAAGTTTACGGGAAACGGGGGTCCGGGTTCAATCTCTGGGGAAGTCAATTTCATTAATATTGCGGTTGTCGGCTACCACGCGTCTCACGGAGGGGAGCTCTTACATTTTTAAGTACATTAACCTTAATTGAATACCTGCTGTATTATGCAATAAATTCAGATTAAAATGTAACCGTTTTTGTCCTTTCTTATCTTGTTGTTATTTATATTTTAAGGTAAGATAAGATTGGACTTTATAATATGCAGTTTATATGTTTATATTGCTTAAGTAAATGTATATTAAAAATGAATAATCTGTTTTTAGAATTTAAATGAGTAATTCATAAAACCTTGTATCTCCGTCTTTCGGGAATATATAAAAAATGTAAACGCATTTTTATGTACAAATTATTTAATTACTCTTTTTAAATCGTAAAGGGTAAGTGGATGCTAAAATAAAACTCTGAAGCTATAAAGTATACTAAAAGATTTGTTTTATTTATTAACTTTGTATACAATGTTTGTAACATTAAAAAAGAAAAGCGGCGAAGAACTGGTATTTTTTTTTATTTAAGAGAGATAAACTGTGTAACAGGTGTATTTAAAATAACATTAATAAAAATCCAATTCTGTTTACTTTTAAACTTAAATCCATTTCGGCTAAGGTAAGAGTACGACAGCGCTGTAAAAATTGCACAAAGAAAATATGAACTTTAAAGAATTTGAGTGTTTTTTATGTAGTCTTAAGAGATTACTTCGAAACATTTTAGGGTGCAGAGGGCGTTAGTGAAAATGAATTCTTGTTTTTTTTTTGGAATTTATCTTAGTCTTGTGAATAAAATATTATTTATTAGACAAAGCTGGCTTTAAAATTTATACAATGTTAAAAATTTTATTTTAACATTTTTAGAATTACTTTGTAAGTGTTTATCTTGTTTTTTTTCATTTCGGCGAACATTTTCATTTAGATGTTTTATTCTGTTTTTATTGATCAAGATGGGAAAAAGTTGTGTCTAGCGATGGGCAATACTTTGAATGATTCATTTGTTACCATTTTTTAATAATAAAGTTATATTTTTATCGAAAAAAAAGCGAGAACTTAGTTGCGCACCTAATACTTATATTGCATTTTTAAGGCTTTCAAATTAAAAAAAAATGTAGATGCAATTAAAAATATAATTGTTAATATCAGACCTTTAAGAAAAGAGCATACATCAATTTTAAAATCTTATGCGATTAATTGCTCGTTTGTTTGTTTATTAAAATACTAACTGTCGCCCTACGCGCGGATTTAAAAAAGAAAACTTAATCAGTAGCCCATGTGTTTTTCCAAACTATGATCTACATCTATACCTTTTTACAAACTTCCACCCAAACATTCGCAATTATAGTATTAGGAAGATAACACACAGTTCAATGGAAAATTACGTGTAATTTCTCAGTTGCTGTTTATATAATATATATCTCAGAAACAACATAAATGTAAACGTGTGTAGTCTTCATGGCAAGCTAATAATTTGTCTCTCTCAAAAAATCAAAGGAGAGTTCATGGATCAGTGAATTATCAAGTCCATCGATAATTGAACTTGATACCAATTAATCGTACATAATAAGTAATGTATCACACGACAAACATATTAACTGATAAAATCGATATAATCTTATCTAATACACGTTCCATTAATTTAAATCAAATCCAAAAATAATATCTTAAAATTAGCTATAATTGTAATTCAAAATTTAAGTTAGTTTAACGTTGAATTTTGTACAGTTAACATCATGGATAAAATCTTTTTGGCTATTATTTTGTGTCTGTTACCATTCTCATTGGCAAATATAAGTACTGTTGATGGTAAAGTTAAAATAACCATTGGTTCAACAGCCGGTTGCAGTGATACAGTACGTTTTATTAATCAACAATTAGTACCGGCATTTGAATTATACAGTGAATATTTGAATATCGAATACTTTCCTTGGGGAAGGACAAGACGCGATGACAATGGCACATTGATCTGTCAATTCGGAGTGAACGATTGCTGGGCAAATCGACTACACAGATGTGCACTACATCTTCTAGATAACCAAGAAGCACAATTAGAATATATGATATGTGAATTTTCAAGCCCTTATCCAGCATTCTTACAGAATAGCTACCAATGTGCAGAAAATGTTGGATTAAGTATCAATAATATTGAAAATTGTTTCGCAACAGATAATAATGATCTTGAAAGTATATCAGAGAATGCGTCGTTAATTCCTATGCAAGTGATAAATTTTGTACCTTTTATTACTTTAAATGATGTTATTGATTTGGATGTACATAATCAAGCAAGACAGGATCTCGTCAAACTTATATGTACCGCGTTATCTAATGATTCCTCCACTGGGATCAGCATTAACGACTGTTAAACGTAAAAAAAAACGATTAATTATTTTGTATAATCGATTTCAATGAATTAAATGAGCATTAGAATTATTTGAGTATTTTATTATACAACTAGCGATCGCCCGCGACTTCGGCAACGCAGAAAAAAAGCCTATAATAAGCCAGCGAGCATCAAATACCTTTCCGACAGTCCTGTCGAAATCAATCCAGCCGTTCCAAACACACGGACAGACAAAAATTTTAAAAATTCGGTATAAGTATCGCAAATGCACGACGATTTTTTCTCGGTTATACATACAGACACTTCAATTTTATTATGTATAGATTTTTAGGCAAACTGTATTCGTTAATTTCTATTACATAATTAAGAGTGTTTGTACTTTACTTTCCTTCAGAAACGATGGAACGTATTCGTATCTAATATACGCTGACAAAATTGTCTTGATAGTTAACCCACATTTATTTGATAATTTATGTAGTAAGTTTTATTTCTGTGACCGTTAAGAATCAAAGCATTTATCTCAAGTATCAACTTAGTTGGTGTCATAATCGACAAAGTTGGGCAATTGGACAATCAACGCAGAATACCTCTAATAACGTTATAACTCTGAGAGATAACAGTTAACGTTGCCATTTCCTTGTTTTATGTCATTTATAAATGGCCATTAAAATTTTTGCTTATCTATAGCACTTTGAAGTTAAATTAAAATTTCAGCCGAAATACATAATTCTTTATTTTTGTATTACTTATAAGGAGACATTCTTTTTACCTAATATTATATCATACTAATGTTGTTATTTTTAAACTTGATTGAATACGTCTGGCTTGCGCATTATCAAACATGATTTGGCACTAAAATAAATAAATCAAGGCCTCATGTAAAAACTCATTTAAACAATCATACGATAAGATATGTAACTTTGACTGATTGTAGAATTAGGTTTTGATTGATTAGCCTATTGGGATTCGATTGCAATCATTATAACAAATATAATATACATTGTTTAATTTACTTTAACATTGAATCTTTTTAAGAATTAAAATAATTCCGATGAGGTGTTTTATTAAGTATAGATTCTATTAATAATTGTTTTATAAGAAATTTTATAAATTTTACATTTTTAAAGTCGTAGTTTTTGAACCGCCTGCCATAATATAATAGCAATTATAAAAATTTGGTCCACGTTGCTAATGAAAATTTACAAGTTATCTTGATTTGATTTACCCAGTTGCTTGATTTTCATTAAGAAACTTAAACTAATTATAATCAAAACCTTAAATAATCGATAATCATATGGTAAAGTTGTTATTCTATGTAGGTAATTGTTTGTTTGTATATTTAATGTAAAATCAAAAATAGTCAAAGACAGTTTAGTTCAGTTTACATATTCAGTAAATGTTTCGAGTAATTCCAATTAAATTCATATATATGATTAAATGTTATTTGCGCTACTAACATAATTAATGATTAGTAAACACGTCACGAACCAAAGGTTGTTTACAGCTGTAATACGATGTAAGCACACGTATTAGTTGGAGCAGAGCATTATGCAGATGGTAATGGGATGGCATATTAACTATTATACCACTTATTAGTAGGAGCTTAAATACGTAGTGTAGCACATTATTGGGCTACGGTACACGAGTACTGGACTATCATAGATTAGGAACAACACTAAATATTTAGCTTTGTTTTGCAGTTAAGTATACATACATTTAGATTGAAGACTGTGATTTATTAAATCTTTATTTTTTTATATCATAAGGTGGCAAACGAGCAAGCGGCCACCTGAAATCACTGAAATATAAATACAATATTTTCCCTTTTCATGCATCCTCTTATCCGGAACGTCCACTTCCACTTCCCATCCTTTCCTTGTAAGAAAAAGTGTGGGAAGGGAAAGAGGACCAAATTAGGCCTCCGGGACGCACACTTATCAGACGAAACGCGGGATTGCTCCCACTTCACGCCTGTCTTCTGTGTGCTCGTGTATTTCACCAGGCGAGCCGGGCCAATGCGTGCAAAGCTGTTAAAGCAGGCTCAACCATTGTTAAACTTTAAATTAAACTTTATGTTTTAATTACTTTAAGCTTTTGGTAAGAATGGCTTATAAATAAAATAGTGTACATTATTTTTCAAGTTCAAACATGGCGTAGTTGACATTAGCCAAATACCGCACTAATTACAGTAATAACATTCAATTTAAGCTAATAATAGCGTTGAATTACCATAACGTTATTACCAATACGCTATAAAACCATTATTTATGATAGAGGTCTAATATATATTTAGTGGTGTACCTCATAAGCGGTTCCCAAATAATGCTCGCCGACGGACTTTTGAAATATAGTTTGGATGGATGCCCATCTGGATTGTAATGTTACAGCAATAGTTTCCGATAAGCAATATCTTCCAAACGGTTACATTTTTGGCTTTACTAATTTATGTACATGTTTTTCTCATTTCGCCAACAAAATTGGAAAAGTTTTTTTTTATGTTTGCTATTTATTTAATGTATGTTATTAGTAAGTACTTATTGTGAATTATTGAAGATCAATAAATCCGTCATCTAGCCTACACTTCACAATATTTAAAAACTTGATAAGTGCAGTTATCGAGTTAAGACGTATCCTAGTTTAGAAATAAAGTGCGTCCCGGAGGCCTAATTTAGTCCTCTTTCACTTCCCACTCTTTTTCTTATAAGGAAAGGATGGGAAATGGTAGTGGACTTTCCGGATGAAAGGAGGCATGGAAAGGGAAAATATTTTCTTTCTGTGCATCCTCTCCTCCGTCGATTAAAAGTAGACAACGCATGTGCAATTGCGTATGTTAATGGGCAACGGTCACTTTGCTATTTCAGTGATTTCAGGTGGCCGCTCGCTCGTTTGTCACCTTATGTTATAAAAAAAAAACAGATATCTCATTTGATTTTTTTTATGATACCAATTGGTTGTTCTTTCATGAAATTGACCATATTTGACAAAAGAAAACACCAATCTCCGCAAATATAATAATAAACAACAATCAATTGATTTTTGTACCTACATAACAAAACAATTTAAGTTCTAAGGATTTCGTACCATGTTACCCGATTTTCCCTTAATTTTCCGTGCCAATAGTCATGCTCGAGTGTGTTGGAGTTATCGCCGATAAACAATAACTTCCGGTCGAGTGCGCCGCGGCCGTGGATCCGCTAATTAGGGACGCGGCCGATCGAAATAGAGCCTTTGATGGAAACAGAAAAGGTGATAATGATTTAGAGTTGGTTGAGCATGATACCGGATAAAGATACCTACGGATATTGGGTCAACGATTCTTAAAATAGGTTGGCAGATAAAAATATTAATATCAAAATTAATCATTATCAAAAAATTAGACATTTTTACAAAACATGTTGCTCATTCTGTTTTACCATAAAGAAGGAAAGGGTTGACTATATAATTTTGTACGAATGTTTCGGCAGTGGAAACTTACGGTAAGAGCTATACTAAACTACAACCTTTGACACGAAAAAATGTTGTTGAACAAATCCTAAAGTTTATGTTCAAATCCATTGTATAAGGAAAATAAAGTATATATTTTGCATTAGGCTTACACTTGCATACAAAGTCACGTTCCTCTCAATATTGCGCCGTAGCTCACGCTCCTTCCGCCTTCGTAAAATGTTTTATGTATGCGAATATCTGTATTAATAATGCAATGACTTTGTTTTACGTCACCCTCTATAAATACCGAGGAAGTTATTCCAGCTATAAAGTTTATGAAATGATATTTGAAAAATAAGGCTCAGACCCAGTTGTACACAAAAAGAAAATCTTCGAATACCGACGATTTTAGTCGCGTGGCGACTTACGTTGAACACTATCCCATATCATTCCATAGCTTTGTCAATCGTAATCTGTGTCAAGGTCGTTGTGAGATAATTCTCTGCAATTTTCAAGATGGCGGAGCAAATCGAAACAGATGACATTTAATCTGTATGCCTGTACTGTCCGAAAAAAGTCGTCGAACGTCGTGAGTATGAAACGCGCGCAACGCGATATTCGCAACACAAGATGTACACAATATTAGTTTCCAACATTTACGTTCCATTGTGTATAAAAGGTCTTAGACTTAGTCGTCTTAAAATAGAGCTACCAAACTTGACTTTACGACTTTTTACCACGAGGTAAAAAGTTTAGTTTGATGACAAGCATTTGAAGGTGAATTCGTTTGACGCTTTCGCTACAGACGATTATGATTTAAGTCTTAGGTAAAAGTTTCAAACGTCCGCTCTATAATAAACCACTTTTAAAGTAACATCTGAAATGTTCTCAGATAAAATTTCCATGACGTGTAGATAGTCGGGCATGCATCTTATTCACTTAAAACGGAAAGGACGGACTAGCGAAGCGATGTGAGGGCGAGGTGAGGGTAAGGCGAAGGCGTGGGGACCAGAGTTACAAGAAATACATATTTTACACTTTTGACAGATGTGTCTCAACCCCAAGATTTATTGTGCGGGAAATATGGAGTAACATCTCTCTTTGCTTCAACACGAATAATCTTACATTTACCGTAAAAGATTTTTCCTTGTTTTCCTCGACGGTCATATTCCCGTCCTGTCACAAACGTCGTAAATATAAATTTTACAAAGTTATACTATTATTTATAGGACAGACGGAATTATATTTGCAAATTCTACAAAGTTTTTGCGAATGTTGTTTTTTTTTTGCAATTTGTTTTAAGGTAAAAAGTGTTGTAAAGGTAAGCGACCATCATCCGCGCCGCCCGCATCAAAAGACAAAGCAAATCCGTTTTATCCGCGCGTGCGGTGCGTCCGGCGCGGGTCAATGGAGGGGCGTACCTTTAGGCTAAGAATTTTTTTTTTAAATACAGTAATAATCTTCACTTATTTTACTTTTAAATTTCTTAAAACTACTATTCCTCATAAACCACTCCTTTTCCTGTCAAAACTCTATCGACCGGTAAATATCTATTCTAAAACTTCGACATCTTTGGCTTTCCACCCAACTTAAAGTAAGAACAAAATGATGTGAAATTTATTACATGAGGCCCGACTGAATTTTAAAT